GACACCCATGGCTGACCTGTGCCAGCCGACTTGGGCTGCAGGGCTGTTTCATTGCTTTGTAGACTTCCGGGCTTGGGCTGGAGCCTGGGCTCTAGGACCCTCCCACCTCGCAGGCTCCTAGAGCCCAGGCTCGAGCCCAGAAGTCTACACAGCAATGAAACAGCCCTGCAGCCCAACCCCGTGACGAACCTGAGTTGGCTGGCGCAGGCCTACTGTGGGTGTCTAGTTGCTGTGTAGACATGCCCTAAAAAGTGCTGCTGAGCACCACAACTCCCATTGACTTCTAGCAGGTGAGTTACTCCGCATCTCTCAGGATCAGGCACTTGGGGCTTGCGTACATGGAGAGTTAGTGCATGGCAAGCTAGGTCTGCAAGCACTAGCTTGCTGTGCACTAAGTGGCTGCGTGGCTCGTACTACAGAACTTTCAGTGCTTGGCAACGGGGTTCACATGGCTAGTTAGCACACAGTAAGCTAGTGCGCTGTAGGATCAGATCCTGGTTAGCCACACACTAACTCTCTGTGTAGACAAGCCCTTAGTTACTAAGGAGGTTATACATAGGGATTAATGAGGACTAAACTTTCAACAGCCTATTGAAAATCCATGCCTGTAATATCTGTGAGCATGTTTGTTCCCATGGTCATAAACTTGCATTTATACATGTAACAGGACAATTCAGTGTACAGTTACTCAAACTAGTGTATTTGAGCAGGCAAGCAAACGCGCCTGTAAATATTGATAGATTTTTTTAATAGCTGAACATTTGCTTTTCAGTATAGTGTTACGTATAACATGAAAAATATGTATTCTGGGAACTTTTAGGCATTGAGGAGAAACCATATGTGTTAGTCCTCAGACAGACAGATCTGAGTATACTATCTGCCCTACTGTTTTATTGCACTGGTCTTTTCACTAAATTATTAGTAATTCCTTAATAGCTTTTAAAAATTATGTTTACATTCCATCTCTTGAACTCTCTTCTGTAAAATGCTTCATGAGCTGAACGCAACATAGAGGTGTATTGCAACTGGGAGCTTTCAAAAATCATGAGTCAGGCTTAAAAAAAAATCATGATTGGCTTAAAAATCATGGGGGTTTTTTTGTTTGTTTAAAAAAAAACATTTTGGGTTCTAATTTTCTTTTTGTTTCTGAGCCATTTTCAAGCTTTGTTCCACAACCAAAAGAGAGAGGTTGTTTTTTTTTTTTTAATGAAAGCTACAACTATCCTACAATCATTTGACTCCAGGAGCTGTGGCTTTAAGAAAAATACCAAATATCAAAAGACTGACAATAAAATAAAGAGAACTGGCAAAATTAGAAATAAAATGCATAAATACAGCTATCTGGTGTGGTATTAAATACAACTTCACAGAGATTTGGTGCAGTATTGTTCTGTATAAATCAAGAAATGAAACATTGAATATTTTAGGGAATAGGCAATGAAACAAAAATATCAAAGGAAAATTCAAACTAAGGCCTCAGTCCCAAAGTGAGTTCTGTTCAGGCAGACTCCTGTGTCCATTTGGAGTCCTACTGACTTCAGTGGGCTCCATGTGAATACAAGGCCACCTGCACAGAGCTCATTTCAGAATCTGGAGCTATGGGTGTGTGTGAATCCATAAAGATAAAATAAGTGATTCAAGGCAAAGTAAATTTTGAGACACAAATACCGCTAGTGGGTTGAGTTTTCTTAATTTGGTCATTTTCTTAGGGCTGGTCTACACTGGGGGGCAGGGGGGGGGGGGAGATCGATCCAAGATACGCAACTTCAGATACGCGAATAGCGTAGCTGAAGTCAAAGTATCTTGGATCGAATTACCTGGGGTCCACACAGCATGGGATTGACGGCTGCGCTCCCCCGTCGACTGCGCTACCACCGCTCGCTCAGGTGGAATTCCGGTGAGTGCGTTCGGGGATCGATATATCGCGTCTTAATGAGACGCGATATATCGATCCCAGATAAATCGATTGCTACCTGCCGATACGGCGGGTAGTGAAGACATACCCTTAAGGTTGGTACTTCCTGCTTTGATCCATGATTAGAAGGAAAATCAATTTCCAACATGCCTGGAACCATAATGAAATCTCGTTAGAACATGACAGTTCTCAGCTAGACCAAGGCGGTTTGCAACAGCCTCCAAATTTGTAAAGGTTTATGCAAACCAAACTTAACTTATTAATCAGTACTGTTAAAGTAGAGAAGGAAAGTTATATTTTATCTCTTGAGCAGCAAGTGAATTATTAACAGAGTTGTAAATCTTGCCCTTCCTATATTTTCTAAACTTGGTTAATATTTTAACTTGCTGTTCTTTAATCTTTAATTTTCCCAGGTCTGACTGTAAGCTATCATGAATAGAAAAGAGCAGTAGTACAGGGGTGAAATTGTTAAAGTTTATCAATACATATGTATTTCTGACATCTAAAAATGATGTTTTTAAGAGAGTCTATCAAAGTACTCGCTCAACATAAAAAATCACCATCCCTCAAGCTGTTCCCCTGGCCATAAGATCGAAACTGCTGCATACTAGCAACTGCTTTGCTGGTATTTCCTGTTTAAAATAATGTGGTACATAAGCATATATAAATATGACTTTATAGCTCCAAAGTAGTTATTGCTATGAAAGGACTGCAGTGATATACTCAGGATTATTGCAGCACTATGATACCTATCTTGACTTAGTTGTGTAAATCCCTGCTGTGGTGAAGATTTAATAAAAATGTGTTTGCAGACCTTCCTTTTCAAATCCCACCCAGCTGCTCTGTCTCTCACACATATACACACAAACCCTTTTTATGCTCTTAGTTTTTTCTGTAAACTATTCATTTTAAAGGTGATAAATGAATCCTTCAGAAGTTCCCTATGAAGAGTGAACATTTTAGTTATGATTTAGGGTTTGATTCTTACTTAATTCCATATTCAATGTATTTTCAATTGAGTAAATATTTCAGCATTGAGCCTATTATTTAGGGTTTTCTAATAAAAGGGTCTCCTTGCCTTTTTATGCTAATGTAACTACAGTGAATAGTAATCAGTGTATTTGAAGTCCCCAAAATGTTTTTTGGGGGGGATTTATTGTGCTGAGAAGACTGATTTCAGTCATTTATTTTATTTATTTTTTTAGTTAACTTCCAGGTTTTGGAGAGTTAATTAGTGTAAATTCTTGAGAGCTGTGTTATGCCATTTCTTGTATCTGATTCATATTAAAGTGATCTTTAAAATGCCAAAAAAAAAAATAAGCCCTTCATGTGGGATTCTGACATTACTTATAAGACAAAACATGAAGTTAATTTTCATATGTATATTTAGGTTTTAGAACTTTTATGTTATTGCCTCAAAACATCACAGCTAAAATGCAGTAGAATAATGTATTTTCAGTTATGAGTAGGTCAGATAATATTTTAAACACATTAGACCAAATTCTGTTCTCACCTGAAATAAACCTGAATATAAACCTGAAATAAACCTGTTGAAATAAACCTCTGGAGCTAAATCAGCAAAATTGAAAGCAAAATTTGCCCCAATCATTACACTGACATCAGAGAGTAAATCTTCGTTTTGCATGTAAGATCTTGCCAGGCTGTTTGTTTGTTTTAGTTTGACCACTGATTCAGAGCAAGTGGACCCAGAGTGCAGTGGGGCTAGAAAGATGACAGAAGCAGGATAGCAGCATTCAAAGGAAGTATAATTCTCATATACTGTTTATGTTTACTTGGAACATTTCCCCTCCCCCCTCCGCCAGTTTTCCTGTTGTGATGTCTGTTACTAAATGCACGAAAATAGTCATTGCCTATGTACTTAATTAATCCAATAAAAGATTTAAACTTGTTTTCCTTCATCTGGACTTGGGGCTTGATCCAACTCCCAACTGAAGTCAATAAAAGTCTGGATTGATCATAGAATCATAGATATATAGGGCTGGAACGGACATTGAGAGGTCATCAAGTCAAGTCCAGTCTCCTATGCTGAATCAGGACCAAGTAAACCTAGACCGTCCCTGACAGGTGTTTGTCCAACCCGTTCTTAAAAACCTACAATGATGGGGATTCCACAACCTCCTTTGGAAGCCTATTCCAGATCTTGACTATCCTTATAATTAGAAAAATTTCCCTAATATCTAACCTAAATCTCCCTTGATGCAGATTAAGCCCATTACTTCTTGTGTTACCTTCAGTGGACATGGAGAACAATTCATCCCCATCCTCTTTATAACAGCCCTTAACATATTTGAAGACTCTTGTCTTCTTTTCTGAAAACTGAACATGCCCAGATTTTTAACGATTTCCTCATAGGTCAGATTTTCTAAACCTTTTGTAATCTTTCTTACTCTCCTCTGGACTCTCTTGAATTTGTTCACCTCTTTCCTGAAGCATGGCACTCAGAATTGAACACAGTTCTCCAGCTCAGGCCTCATCAGTGCTGAGGAGAGCAAGACAATTATCTCACGTGACTTATATACAACACTTCTGTTAATACACCCCAGAATGATATTCGCTTTCTCCGCATCACATCGTTGACTCAAATTCAGTTGGTGCTCCATGATAACTCCCAGATCCTTTTCAGCACTACTACAGTGTAGCCAGTTATTCCCCATTTTGTATTTGTACATTTGATTTTTCCTTCCTAAGGGGTAGTACTTTCCACTTATCTTTTTATTGAATTTCATCTTGTTGATTTCAGAGCAATTCTCCAATTTGCCAAGGTTGTTTTTGATTTCTGATCCTGTCCTCCAACATGCTTTCAATCCCATCCACCTTGGTGTCATCTGCAAACTTTATAAGCATACCCTCTACTCCATTATCCAAGTCATGTAAAGAAAATATTCAATAGCACTGGATTCAGAACTCACCTCCATGGGATTCCACTAGATATGCACTCCCAGTAATACTTCAGTTACAAGAAACTGAAACAATAAAATATATTAATTGTTTAAACAGCAGTAGAAATTGGCTGTATTTTCTGTTTCTATAACATTTTAAAATGCTGTTTGTTTTCCCCCCCTAGACATAAGAGTAGCTCGCCACGACACCTGATCCTGTCTTCCATATCAGTTCTTTTTTGCTATCATCAAGGAACAGTTGTAAAAGGGTCGTTTTTAATCACAATAGTGAGAATTCCAAGAATTATTCTTATGTACCTTTATGATGCCCTAAAAGAAAAGGTGGGTACATACTTGTGTAACACAATAGTACAGTGGTTAAGGGGTGAAGTTCGGGAAAGAAATGTATTGAAAAACTAACCTCTGTGTAAGATTCTGTAGTGTGTTTTATTTTGATTTATTCATGAAATAGTTTCTTGTCTGTATCTACTCCTTTCTGCCTCAGATCAGATTTTTTTTTAATTTCAAATAAGAAAATCAAAGGTGATTTATTTTTACTTTTTTAATGTAAAATCTTATATGAGGAGTAAGGAACAATTTAGAGTTGGCAGAAGGATTTTTTTAAAACTCTCACATCATCATAATTTTTAAAAAAATCCAGCTTACCAAGAATGGCTTATTTTCAGCATGAAAACTCTCCTTTCTTGGTGATTTCACCTGCCTTGTGGTGGGAGGCTCAAGAATATATAAAAAGAATAGGTAAAATAAGAACTAGCCCACATTCTTGTCCAGAATTTCAGCATATCTTTTAAAGTATAAAGAAGTGTGGTTAAGTGTTTTTGTTGTTTATCTTTTTAATTTTCATGCACCTCTGCATGTCTGGGCTTCTGCTGGAAACAGAAGTACCATAATAACACAGGAATGCAAATTGTGGTTATTTCTGGAAATCTCATGGGAGGGGCTGGTTCTCATGAGATGTCGAGCTCTATTTCTTAATCTGCAGTTTGTAATAAATTAGGAGCAGTAGTGGGTCTGTATGGCGCTCCACTGATGTCACTGGGGCTCCATATGAGTGCAGGAATCCATTTGCAGGGACTCTATAAGTACCTAAATAAGAGAGACTTGATGTTAAGATGTGCTGAACACTCAGAACATTCTCTGAAGTCAACAGAAGCTGTGGGTGATCAGCATGGCTGAAAATCAAGTTATTCTTTTTAGGTGCTTAAACTTGGTTGTAGTTGCTTAACTTTAGGCACCCATTTGTGGAAAATTTTGCGCTTAAACCTTGGGTGTTTGGTTCAGTTAAACACCTTGAGGCTTGCCTTTTGCCAATAGATATGACATGGTGGATAAGAAGGGTTTTGTTACTAGGAAGAATATACGTTTTATTTTCCACCTGTGAAGGAGTTCATAAAACCACAAGCATACAAGACCATTCACTGGAGTCTGTGTAAAAGTCACAAATAATGCATAAGAACAAATGGGATATTACAGATTAATAACAAGATTAAACTACCCAGAAACTTTGTGGTCTGCTGCTTTTGTTGCACATCTGAAGCAGATGTGCTAGTTGCTGGAAATTCTGAATAAATTTGGAATGAGCCAATATTGTCTAGCAAAGAGGGTTTGTTTGTATCCCTAGGTGTATCCTCCATGTCCTCTTCTTCTTTTCTACCTTCCATGAGCAGCCTACAGCCTTCCAGCTGAGGAGGACTTGACAGGACTTCCTCTGAAGTTAGGCACTGCAGCTCCTAAACAGGCTGCAGGGCACCTGCTAACAATGGGCCAGACTGTTCCCCCAAATCCATGGAGGAAGACCCTCCACACAGTGATACCACTCCGTTCTGGCACGCCAGAGTACAATCCACCATACCCCTGGACCCTGCAGACTCCCTTCCACAAAGTACAGGGACCAACAAGGTGGCAGTGTTTGGGGAGTGGGCAGACTGGATGGGATGCAAATCATCCCTCCTGTGGTCTCACAGGACTTACCTAGACTGTATTACCTTTTCCATAGATGTTCCTGTTCCCTCTGGAGACAGGGGATCCTTTGCTCCACTGCAGCCATGTTATCTGGGAGAGGGGAGGGTACTGCTAGAGGCCAGAGCATCTGCACAGGTGTCCCTGGAGTTTCATGAGTTTGTAGAAGGACATCCGGGCCTTTTCCACCAGGCAGCCCCCTCCCTTCCTCCTGCCAGAATTACCAAGAGGAATCGCAACCTGCAGAGTCTCCTCCTCTGGGTTTTAATGTGGAAGGGGATGAATATTGTCCATTGTGAGGAAATTAGCATGCTGCTTTTATAATAAACACAGCTCTCCAGCGAGACATGGCAAAGTATTGCCATTCAGCTTGGCTCAGGGTATTATTCTTTGGTGACATTTTAAAAAAATATTGAATGCTGGAAAATTTGCAAGGATATTAAACTCCAGACTAAAAAATTCTCACCTTCACTGCTTCCATACAACTCCACGGCTATGCATGTGACCTGAAGATTTCACACAGCCATTCTAAGAGCTTTACTTAAAAACCTTTCTGAGCCCTGAAGATAGAGGATAAAAAAGACTCTTGAACAAATATCACCAAATGGAATTTGCTTTTAAATATCATCTGGGAAAATGGCCATGCCACAATGGCCCTCAAGATGTAGGATTTCATGATTATATTTTAAAATACTCTGTAGGATTAACAACTTTGGTTTTTGAGGTAATGTTAGATGTTCTTCCCTGTTTTGTTTTATGTTTAATATAAAGTTAAGATTCATCAAAGTCTTTGTAAGAACTTCAAACTGTTTCCTGAAAGGAGTGATCTCCTTGAGAATTTAAGCCTGCTGTTTTTACCTTTCCTAATAAAATTAAAGTTATTCATGGGTGTGTCAACATAGCAGCAGCCTGGAGTGTGCTTCCCAGCACAGATAGACAAGACATGCGCTAGCTACACTTGAGATAGCATAGTAAAAATAGCACTGTGGCTGTGGCGGCCTTGGGCAGTGGCTCAGGCTAGCCATTTGAGTACGTACCCAGGGGTTTAGGCAGGTTTGTACTTTTGTGGGTAGCCTGAGCCCCTGCCAGTGCTGCCATAGCCATGCTGCTATTTTTAGCACACAAACTTAAGCCGAGCTAGTATGTCCGTCTATCCATGCTAGGAAGCATGCTCCCAGCTGCTGTGTAGCCATTTCCTGTGTGTGCGTGCACACAGTTGTATAAATCTCTCTAGTCTTTTTATTTCTGTCAGACAGGGTTCCACTTATTTCAAAAACTTGAAAAACAGCCCAAAAATAAAACGAACATTTGTATAAATTACAAAGAAAATAAATACTCTAAATACAGTAAAAAAAAGTTTAATTTGTAAATAGACTCTCTGTTGGTCATCGATCAGTACACTGACGGTTACTGATTTGCCTGCATGCTTTGTGCTACATGCAGCTGTTAGCAAACCAAAGCTGCTTACGTCAGTTATTTTCCTTCCAGAGTAGAATCTTCCATCCAAAGGGAAAAATGTTCAGCTCATCAATCATTAATACTGTAGGATCTGAATTAAAAACAATTCCCATAAGCAGGAAGGAAATCTCTGCTGCTGTTTAAATGAATACTTTGTGAGAAGAACTGCAGTGTCCTGTTAAGCAAGTTGGTGTAAAATGTCAGTTTTATATAAAATCTGTCTGCACTAACTAGTTATTTCATTTCCTTGCAGGAGAGTGCATGTGCAAGATGCATGTTCAAATGCTGTTTCTGCTGCTTTTGGTGTCTAGAAAGGTGCCTAAGATACTTTAACCAGGTACAATACATTCTATCAAGTGCATATCTAAAGTAATCTACAAGTAAAGTTATTCAATATAATGAAGGCTGTATATAAATGAATTGTACTCTGTGTCCTAGAGTTCATTTCAGACTGAGTCTTTGTCCACATTGTGTCTAGCTATATTAGTTTAAATGTTATAAAATATTGTCTACAGTATGGGAGAATCCTGTCATACACAGGCACAATCTTGGTGTGTAAAATCAGGAAGATTAATGTAGACATGCCAGATGAGTGATAAGACTGTTTTAGTTCAAATTAATTGATTGCTGATTAACTTGAGTTAGCTAGCACATTTGTCCATGTGAGTCTGGATGCACCGCAAACATTTGTGAGGTGTCCAGACTAGTATGTATACGTGTGCCAGCTAACCCCAGTCAACTGGCAATCAATTAACTTGAGTTTTAAAAACAAAGTTGTGTAGACAAACTGAAGATGGGTGCTGGCAACATTTCTCCACAGTAACAGAGAGATTACAAACAGCTACAAGTAGCTGGGTGTAAAGGATGGTGTAGCAGATCTGATCATTTAGAACAGTGGTTCTCAAACTTTTGTACTGGTGACCCTTTTCACATAGCAAGCCTCTGAGTGTGGTGATCTCCCCCCCGCCCCAATAAATTAAAAACATTTTTTTATATATTTAACACCATTATAAATGCTGGAGGCAGAGTTGCATTTGGAGTGGAGGCTGACAGCTCACGACCCCCCATGTAATAACCTTGCCACCCCCTGGGGGGTACCGACCCCAAGTTTGAGAATCCCGATTTAGAAAGATCTTATTAGAAGAACTACAGTGGGCCTTCCCCTTCTTCTTCAAGGGTTAGAAAGCCAGAGGGTTCTATGAGTCAGGTGACAGGCTATTGAGATGCAGGGGGCCCAAATGGAGGATCTAGAGGATGCAAGAAGCCTAACTGAAGATGATGTCCAGCTTTCTGCTGGCTCGTGGACACTGTGTGGCTTATTATTTATTATTGTGTTTGTAGGACAAACAGTACCTAGAGGCCTTATTCATTCAGTATAGGGAACTAATTGTGCTAGGCATTATACAAACAGTAAAATACATGGTGCCTGCCCTGAAGAGTTTATAATACCATCTAGATGGATAAATAACTGTCCACCCTGGGAGCATCCACTAAAAGAAAAAACTCTCTTACTGGTCTTTTCTGATTTTCAGTATTACTATAGCTGGAATATAAACCAAAATGGGGCATCCACAAAATACAGTATTCCCTTTCTTAGAAAGACAACTTTTTTAACTGTTATTTTCCAAGGTGTTTTTATTGGAAATGATTGATCTTCTACATACTGCCAGTTTTCAAATACTTGACTTCTGCTCTTTTCTTCCTGGTCCTTTCTTCCACATTTTCCCCAACTCATCTCCATTCTTGTCTATACTTATTTCTTATGTTTTTACAATACCCCTTCATCATCTGTGGTGGCTCTAACATCCTTTGCCGTTATAGTGGAAACAATAAGAAGATCTTCTTCACCCTAAAGATTATGTATGGCGTTCTTCAGGGTTCTAGTTTCACTCCAGTTCCCTTTAATACTTTGTATGCTACAATTCTGAAGATGCCATTGGGCAGTACAAGTTTAGCTTTGATAACTCTTAAATCAGATTCTGCTAAAGCTGCACTTTGCTGTTTTAAAGTGGCTGCATACATGAAAATGAATGCTGAATGGCTTGAAAGAAATAGGATATGTCTTAGTCCAGACCACACTAAATTCTTGTTCAACAAAATCATTAGTTCCGTGGGATGAACTTTCTCGGCTTACATTCTAGGTTAGATCTCATGGTCACTGACTTGGTTAAGAGCCTTGTAGTTAGTTTGGACTCCAAGCATGTTATTGTCACCCTTCACCTTGGCTTCCTGCCCTTCAAAGATGATAGCCAATATAAAAGCATTTGCTTTCTCCAGCTGCTGTTGTATGTTATTTATGTGTTTGTACAATAGTACCTAATTATTGTACTGCTCTCTGCTTGGGTCAAAGGCTTGTGCTTCAGTTCTTACTTTGTTAAAAGATTTCCTGTTATTTTCCTTGGCCATTGTAGTAAAAAATAGATCTTAAAAAAAATAAAAAACTGAGGTTTTTTTTTTTAAATTCAAGATCATATTACTGTGCCTGTTGTTAAATAATTGTTTGGGTATGTTTTTGGCAAAGATGACCATAGCTCCAGCTTTGTAAACCAGAGCAACGTAGCATATAGGAGAAGATTAGAAAAGAAGATAACCATAAACCTTTTGTAAGGTAACCTATAGAAGTTATAGCTGTATGAAAAATGTAAGAGCGAGCACAGATGAATACCCTGTATTATGCAGGGTAATCAATTTGTCTAATCCTTCCCCCCTCTCCTCCCACAAAAAAAGGTGTATGTAGGTTTTTGGGGGGTGATTAGGTAAATAAATCTGAACCAGGCTTCAAGTTTGCAAAATTGTGACCAAGATTTTCAAAAATACAAGCCTGATTTTAGGCATCTAAATAAGTAAGTGGCTTGATTTTCAAGAGTGCTGAACATTCAGCTACTCTCAGTGAAAGCAGTAGAAGTTGCTGAGTGCTCAGCACTTTTGAAAATGAGGCCACCTATCTAGTTTCTGAATTTGGACTTAGGTTTGAACCTAACTTTAGGCACTCATTTTTAAAAATTTGGTCTGTCTGTATATTTCTGATATTTTTAAAGCTTTTAGTACTTTTCAGATTATTTTTTTTAGAGGAGTTTAAATTACTCAAATGTAGAACAGTTGTCATTGAAGTTGATCCTAGAATTACTGTGTGTACTGACATTTTCCATTCTGTGTTTGTCCTTTGTCCCACTCTTGTTCATCGGTGATAATATTACCTTAGCAAATGCATCATTACCTGGGAATTCTAAAAAGAAATCCATTGAGAACTCTGATAGATGGGAAGAAATCACATTTTAAAAAAAATGATTACAAATCTCTCCTCATCATTCCAACACTGATATTTTCTTCTCCTGCCTGTCTCTGAGGAGGAATTAAGTAATCGGAATGACACAAATTCTGATCTCTCAAGCTAACCAGGACTGAATGGGTCAGTACTTGGATGGGAAACTTGCAGAGGACTAACAAGTGCCCCAGGAAGTAATGTTGGTGATTCAGACGATAGCACTCTTACCTGTGAGATAGTATCAACCCAATGGCACATTATGTTGTCACAGGCACTGTGCAGCTGGATATGCCATCTTTCAGATAAGATTTTAAACTTCGGCCCTGATTGTCATGTGCATCTCCTACAGGTGGAGAATTAGCCCATTGCCAACAATGGGGTATTTTACTATGTTGTTTTAACTGTCCAATGCTGTGTGGATTTGGTGATCTCCCTTAATCATCTGTTACAACATAGTGTTGTTCAAGTGTGGATCCATTTAGGCTTCTTATTCTGCTTTTCTTTCCTTTTATCTGTATGGTACAGTCCAAAAGATATATTTGTTCACATGCAATATGTAAAAACCTGCAAACACTGCATGTGGAATAGAAACAGTAGCTTGGATGTGCAGAACAACAGGACATTAATATTAAATATACCAAAACATGAACAGGATGCTAGATCTCTAAATAATGGAAAGAGATTATAACTGCCCTTTCACGCATCCACAGATTTCAAAAGTGGCTCAGGCAATAAGAACCTCCTACTGATTACCTTCTCCCTAGACCTTGCATTAAGGCCTGTTCACTTAATAAATGTCCCTTGTCTGTGGATTTTCAGGATTATCTGCACTGCTGTATCTCCCCTTTTCTGCCTTTAGTTTACTAACTCAAAGTATCAGGTCTTAGGCTAGAAAACAGCTGGTATATAGTAATGTCTTATGTTCTTCTCCCCCCAGCTCAGTTCAAACACAGCCTCCTTGAAGTGAATCATAATCCCAAAGCACTCATCTGAGTCTCATTCAGATCTCCAAGGACCTTGGTCAAGAGATGCCTAAGGGGATATCTACCCTGAAATAAAAAACCCACTGGTGGCCTGTGCTAGGTGATGGGGGTTCGCAGGGCTCAACCTAAGGGCTGTTTAATTGCGATGTAGATGTTTAGGCTCAGGCTGGAGCCCAGGCTCTAATATCCTGCAAAGTGGGAGGATCCCAGAGCTCAGGCTGCAGCTTGAGCCCGAACGTCTGCACTATAGTTAAACAGCCCCTGAACCAGCAGTGGGTTTTTAATTGCAGTGTAACATACCTTCAAAGACATCCTGCCATCACCTGGGTTGTTCCTTAGTCACTAATAGTTATAACATGTGCTGACTATAGAGTTCTGTTGCAGTGGCTGCTTATAATCATTAAAGATTCAGTGACACTTTCTGCATGAGCAGCAGTGTTAACCCAATGTCCTATTTGGACTACAGTTTGGGTAATTATATTCTGCCTGCCTAAATTCCCTCTATACTTGCAACTGGGTCCTGTCCTGTGGCGTAAAGTTACTATGTTAAACGTTCACCCCAAAGCTGCTGTATTTCTGATTTGTATGTGTATAATACATTAGTAAAACTCTCTGGGATCTATCTGGATGAAAGGTGCATTATGAATACAAAATCATTATCCTTCTGTTTGCCAACATTTGTTAGAATTACCATAGATATTTCATCATCTTGCATTCATGGTTTCAGTAAGGCCCAGATAAACCTATCCAAATGATCTCAAGTAAAATCTGGTGGATTGGAATTTCTCTTCCATAAAAACAATCCCCTTTTTTTTTTGATAGTCACAATTTCTGTCTCCTCTCTTAAATAGTTGTGGCAGTGCCTTAACTTTGGGTATTTCAAAGACATCTCTCCTTCCTTAGTCTTGTTTCAATAAATGTATTTTACAGTACATCACCAGAAGTATAATTTTGCTTCTCTGGGTCTGGTTTGGGTTGATCTGCAGCCAGCTGGCAAGCACCCCTTCCATAGTGCAGCACATAGGTTTCTGAAGGAATTGCCGAGAAGCGTGTAGTTTCTTTATTCTAATCAGCACCATGATGTTGAGG